GATTCTGTAGTTTCTCCTGTCTTTTGGCACTCTCCAGACTCCTGACCTACTTCCAGGGATTCTGCACACTGAGGTTGCTGACAGTTTTGTGCCACAGAACATGCAGTAGGTGCGTGTCGAGAGCACTTCGAAGCCCACGTTTTCAAAGTGGGCGGTTTCACAAAAATTTCTAGGTTTCCACATATAAAATTCTCAGAAGGTGCCTCCGGTGCCTGAGCTCCCCTGTGACCACTGCCAGGCTGAGACACACTTCCTGAGCCCCCCCACCCCCCAATCCTCCTGGCCTTTTAAAGATTTATGAGGGATGTCAAGTTCTCAGAAAATGTTTCTGATGCATTCGGGAAGAATGGGGCATTCGGGCCACACCAAGCCTGTCACCTTGCTGCTGCCAGAACAGCTGGTCACTCTTCCCGACAGTTTCCCGTGGACCTGTGTGAGAGCCCCTCACTGGGTCCTCTCTCTCTTCTCCTTCGCCAGCTAGCTGAGGCCTGGATGGCTTTGTGACGCCGGGGCAGCTTAGCTAGGCGGAACTACACTTCCCAGAGCCCTTGTTCACGCGTTTCCATTCCGATTCTTACCAGATGTGGAAAGAAACAGCCCTTGTTGTGCTTATCCTCCTCGCTGGGGTGAAACAGTACTTTGGCCCACATTCCTCTACGTTCCCAGGTTCCCTACCTTTTCCTGACACCTGGGTCTGGTGTGTGGCCTTGATGAAGACCCACCTGCAAGGTGCTCCTTGTCACCACCTTGTCAGGCAGGCAGGGGCCCCAGAAACGGTCTGCTCATGACCCCTGACAGTCTGGGTCCCTCCAACCCCAGAATCGGTCAGGGGGAGTCAACCTAAGACACTGCATAGTCAGCCCCCCAGGCCCTGGGCACCCCAAGTCTCCACAGGGGCTTGGTGGGACGGCGACAGCAGTCTGCTAAGCATACCTGGTGCTTTCACCCAGGAGCTGCCCCCCAGGGCTGGTGTGATCTGTTTTTGTTTTTTTCAATTTATTTTTTCCTCACACGCAGGGATGCACAGGGGTTACTCCTGGCTCTACATTCAGGGATTACTCCTGGCAGTGCTCAGAAGACCATACGGGATGCTGGGAATCGAACCCGGGTTGGTTGCGTGCAAGGCAAACACCCTACATGCTGTGCTATCGCTCCAGCCCTTTTTTTCAATTTTTCGAGCCATACCTGGCGATGCTCAGGACTTACTCCTGCCTCTGTGCTCAGGGCTCACTCCAAGCAGTGCTCCAAGGACCATATAAGATGCTGGGGATCAAACCCAGGGCAGCCATGTGCAAGGCAAATAAATGCCCTCCCCGCTGTGCTATATCACTCCAGTCCCTGAGCCCAAGTGATCTGGAAATTTCCTACCTGGAGGCTGCCAATGTCCACATTCTTCTCTGTGTGGAGCTCATGTCTGACCTGTGTGTGCAGAACGAAGGACAGGGCAGGGCCTGGACCCCAAATATGCATGGTCATCTCCTGCGTGTGGAGCATGTAGAACTCATGTCTGACCTGTGTGTGCAGAATGGAAGACAGGGCAGGCAAGCCTAGGGCCTGGACGTGGTCATCTCATTTGCCTCTTTTTAAGTCATGTGAAAACAAGGGGCTCCCCGGGGGAGGCTCACTGCAAGTGGAAGTGTCATAACACTACTGTGTCCCCATTCACATCACCCACCGCCTGGCCCTCGGGGACACAGAGGCAGGACCCCTTGTACTGAGGGCTCCCACCTCTCTGTGTCTCTGTGTCTGCCCTAGTAGAGGCCCCACGGGAGACCAGGATGCAGCTGGGTCTGGAGACCTGGAGAACAGATGGGGAGAGGCTGGGAAGTTCCCCCAGCCCCAGGAGCACTCAGGGGTACTAGGGAACGGAGGCAGGAAAACCTGGAGACTCAGCCCTGACACAGTGAGGCCAAAACCTGCTGTGAAGCAGATGTGCAAATAAAAGGAAACACTTTTCAGTCCGTTTAGGGAAGATGAATCTGAAGATGGCATAGATGGCACAATCCCCAGATTAAAAATCTAGTGAAGCCCTAAAGCCTGACCTCAGTCTCAGTGGCCTGGCCCTCCCCAGAGCCCTTTCCAAGGGTGAGGGGTGCTGGTTACACTCCTGTTTCACAGACAAGCCAATGTCCTGGTCCTTGTCTTTTTGCTGCACTGTGGTCACCTCCCCCCCAAGGCGGCTTTCTTTCTGTCCCTGCAGTGTCAGGGGCCTCCAACATACACGCGAAATTTAAGATTCCTTAAAGCCAAAAAATTGAGCCTAAGAAACCCAGAAAAGTAAATGGTGGCTCCCAGAGACCCCAGCCCCATGGGAATGTCATGCGAAGGGGTGTCAGTGCAGAAGACAAGCTTTGTTGTCAAGTAGAGCAGGTCCAAGCCTGCCGGCTCTGCTGGCGAGGCGACGTGCTGGGCTGGCGAGATGAGGTCTGTGCACTGACCTGAGTGTGCATGCGTGCCTGACAGTGTGTCATATGACAGGAGTTCCCATGGATGGCTGGTGAAGCCAGAGGTTCAGTTCACGGTGCATATTAGGGACTTGGGACTGGGGAGGTGCCACTGAGCTGCAGGTACTGACTTCAGCAAGCAAGGGAGAAGGGGCAGGGCCCCAGAAGAGTGGAACACCGACAAGTAGTTTCAGAGGAAGGGCAGCGTGAGAACAAGGCCCAGGATGCCAGCATGGAGAGTCAGCATCAAAGGAGAGAAAGATTGCGAGGGACAGACAACCGATTCAAACGGACTCACGGAAAACCACTTTCTGAGCTCAGGACAAATTGTGCTGGGCAGCTTCAGGTGCGACCAGATCTGAGCACCCCATTGAAAGTCCACATCGCCAGGCATCAGTGTCTGTTTCTTGGTGCCAGCTTTCTGACTCGGCTCCTTCTGTAGGTGGGTTTCTTCCCCATAGGTTGACCCAAGGTCGCTATCCCTGTGTCCTTACTAACTAGTGATGTTGCGGCAAGAGCACCCAGTCTGAGGCTTTCCAGGTCAAGTCTCAGGATTGACTCCTTGTGCCCAGTGCGGTCAAAACTGACCCAATCACTGTGGCCAAAATGTACAAGCGACACAAGATCATCTCCGGACTGCTAGACCTCTGGCGGCCTTGAGAGCAGGACCACAGGGCCGTGCGTCCCCAGGAGACAGGTGAATAGTCATTATCAGAAGGAGCAGAGGCCGGCCCCCATGAAGGCTGGTCCGGGGGCACTGGTGCTCCTGGTGGCAGCAGCTGCAGGGGACAGCAGGTGCCGGGTGGCCAGGGAGTGCCCACCTGTCCAGCAGAGAAGTGTAGCAGTTACACGAAATGGGAACCCACTGGTAGACCCAGGCCTTGCAATTGGCAAAGGGCAGTTTTGGGCAGAAAAACACAATTTCAACTTGCCGAGAGGACACGGACCAGCCAGCATGTGCTCAGCAGGGAGGACACGGGCCAAGGAAAAGGCTGAGCAACTGGGCAGAAAGGGCAACGTCTGTGCGCGGGCATCGAGCTGCCTCTCTAATCCTCCCTGCATTTCAGGGTCACCTGAGAGAGGCTCAGAAAGTCCCACTGGACAACGGGGTAAAAGTCCTGGTGGCTTTCCAGCTGGGCATTCTGGTTTAGGGGAAGGGTGGAAAACCAGGGACCTTGGGCTGGTAATGAGCACTGACCCCGTGCTACCCCAAGACTCTGGGGGGGGGCTTCTCCCCAGGCTGTCACACTGTGGGACTTGACCTGGACTGGCACCGGGCCCCCAGCACCCCCATCAGAACTGCAGATGAAGGTATTGCTGAATGCAGTCATGTCTGGGCTGGCAGGGGGAGAGGGGGGCTCAGGTTGGCATAGCAAGCTCCCCTATACTGCGCATGCTCTGCCCAAGGCTGTCCTTGGGGCCCGGGGTTGTCCCATGGCCCGAGGCAGAGCAGAGGAATGGACACTTCATCAGTGAGGGAAGAAAAGTGTGCAGTTGGGGGAGGCCGAGTAATTTCCTGAACAAGGCCCCCTCCTGCCTTCTGAATCCCATGTGTTGGAGGTGGTGGTTGCCCTGCTCTGGGGAGGGGTACCAGCAGGCTGCGCTGGGGGCCCCCTTCCCTACGCATCTGTCCTCTTTGAGGATCCAGAGCTCCAACCACTTCCATTTTCTCTTCTAACCCCAACCCTGGTATCTGCCCTACCCAGTCTGCGCCCATAACCACGATTCTTGACTTCCACCGCCTCAAGTCCCATCCTGCTTGATTTTTATGATTTTTCCAACGAACTGCCCAAAAGGCCTCAGTCGAATGCCCAGCAGGGCCGGGCGCACACCCCACAGGAGACAGGAGACACCCCACGATGCCGGAGGCCCTCAGGGTCCCCTCCCCAATTCCAATCATCTACAATTGTAAGCTATCAGGGTCCAGCTCTGGGCCACGCGGGGCAGAATCCTGCGATCCCTCTGAAGCTCAGTGAAGGCAGCAAGAAGTCGCTGGGCAAAGACCAAGCCTCTTGGGGTCCTGCTGGGGGAGCGCGCTGGCCTTGCACGTGGCCGACCGGGGAGCAATCCCCGCGCCCCAGATGGTGCCCCCTCCCCCCGCCAAGTGCGATCCCCTGATCCGGGAGGTCAGCCCTGAGCACCGCTGGGTGTGGCCCCCAAACAAAAAGAAGCGGAGGCAGGCCCCCCACACCCCGATTCCGCCGCCCGCCCGCCCGCGCGCGCGCCTTCCCGCCGCCCTCCCCGGGAAGAAAAGGAGAGCGGCTCCAAGGTTTCAACGATTTATTGTGCCCCACACCGAGGAGGGGGTCGCGTCCCGCACCCCGCACCCCGCGGCCGCGGTCCGCGCCGTTGGCGCCCAGAGGGCCGGTCACCATGGCGACGGCCGTTGCCAGGGGCGAGAGCCAATAGGGGCGTCGCCAGGGCCGGTTCAAAAATCGAAAGCAAACAACGACGGAAAAAAAAAAAAAAAGACCCGCGACCCCGCCGGGGACGGGGACGGGGGGTGGGGGAGGGGCGGGGAGCAGGCCCGCGTTTCCCCCCCACCCGCGCCCGCGCGGCTCGCGCGGCCCGCGGCTCCGGGCCGGGGCCGGGCTCACTTGCGGCGGTTGGGGACCTTGGGGACGCTGGGCTTGGCCGCCTTCTTCACCTTCTTGCCCCCGGCGGCCGCCGCCTTCTTGGCCGCGCCGCCTTTGTCCTTGGGGGCGGCCGCCTTCTTGTGCGCGCGCTTCTCGGCCGGCGCGGCGGGCGCGGGCGCCTTGTCGGCGCGCCGGGGCCCGGCCGCGCCCGCGCCCGGGGCCGCCGCCGCCGCCTTCTTGGCCTTGGGCGCGGCGGGCGGCGCGGCGCCCGCGGCCCCGGGCGCCCCGCGCCGCTCGCCGCCCTCCAGCTTCTTGCGGTTGAGCTTGAACGAGCCGTTGGCGCCCGTGCCCTTCACCTGCAGCAGCGTGTCGTTCTGCACCAGCGCCTTGATGGAGTACTTGAGGTAGGTGCGCCCGTTCTGCTGGTCGAACCACGCCACCTTCTTGGCCTCCGCGTAGATCCGGGCCAGCGACGAGCCGTGGCGCTCGCCCAGCCGCCGGATCGTCTCCACCACCAGCTGGCTGTACTTGCCCGGCTGGTTCTTCTTCTTCTTGCTCTTGCGCTTCTTGGCCGGGGCCAGCGGCGCCGCGCCGCCGCCGGCCTTGGCCGCCTTGCGGGCCGCCCCCTCCGTCGTCAGCGGCAGCGCCTGCTCCAGCTCCACCGACATGGTGGCGAGCGGGTTGGTGGCGGGCGGGGCGCGGAAGCCCGGGGGCCGCGCGGGGAAGAGGAAGGCGAGGGCCCGCGGGGGCGCCGGGGGGCTGGGGGGGGCGCGCGGCGGCTCCGGGCGGGAGCGGCCGCGGCCGGACGCGGGGCCGGGCGGCAGGGCTGGGGCGGGGGCCGGGCCGGGCCGGGGCCCGGGAGCGAGGCAGACGCGGGCGGGCGCCGCCGCTGCAGCCGCCGGCCGGAGCTCGTGGGCGTGCGCGCTGCGCTGCGCTCTGGCGCGCGCGCGCCCCGCGCCGCCTTTATGGCTCGGCGGCGGACCGCGTTGAGAACAACAACAGCCGGGGCCGCGGCCCGCGCCCACTTGTGCTTCTTGGCGCCCCTTGGCCGGCCGCTGGCCGCCCCGCGCGCGCCCCCCGCGCGCCGCGCGCGCCGCCGCCGGGACCCCCGCGCGGGGCCCGAGCCCGTCGCGCCCGCCAGCGGCCGCGGCGGCCGGCGCGGGCCGCGGGAGAGCGCGCCGGAGGGCCGCTCCCGGGGCTGCGGCCGCGCCGGCCGAGGGGGGCCGCCGCCTTGGCGGGCGGCCGCGCGGCCCCCCGGGGACGGGGACGGGCCCCGGGCGCGGCGGCCGCCGGCCGAGAGGTCGCCGCGGGCCCCCGGGCGCGCACGGCGCCCCGGGGACCCCCGGGCGGCCCGCGGGACCAGCTTTCCTTTGGCCCAACTAACACAGGGCGCGCCCTCGCGCGGACGGCGGGGGCGGCGGGGCCCGGGCGGCCTCGCGGGGGTCCCGCTCGAGGCCCGGGGCGGGGGCGGGGGGGTGACGGGGACCGGGAGCCGTGGGGGGCGGGGGCGGCCGCCGGACCCCCCGCCGTGGCCGGCGCTGCTCCTTCCCGGCCCGGGGGGAGGGCGGTGGGGGAGGGGTGGGTGGAGAGCAGGGACCCCCCGCCCCAGGAGGCCCCCCGTGGGGGAGGGGAGATGCTCCGGCCCTGGCCACGCCCCTCCCCCTCTGGACCGGGAGCGGCCCGCTTGCGGCTCCCAAGGGCCTGGCCGCACGGTGGGGGGCGGGGAGCGCTTTCTCGGGGCCTGCCTGCTTAGAGATTTTAGGAGCCGAGTAGGGAGGGGGGCTTCAGACAATGCGGCTCCCCCAGGATCAAGCTGGCCACAGTAATGAAGAAGAAAGAGTCGAGGGGGGGTGCTCGGAGGCGCGCAAGACTGGACGGTCCAGGAGCGGGAAGAGCTGGGAGGCCGACGTCCGCCCTGCGCCCCGCTAAGCACCCCCCCCTCGCCCACGCCTGTGTGAGAAGCAGCAGGAGAGGGGAAGACGAGGCCCAGAGAGCCTGGAACCCGAGATTATTACTGGGGAACCGAATGGAGCCTGGGAGGGCTGGGCCCCCGGACAGAGTGCAGCCGAGGAGACGAGACATGGGCTGCTGCACCCCAGGACCCTGAAAATACCCCGCCCGGCTCCCAGCAAGGGGGACGCGGGCCGCAGTCGGGGTGACTAAGACCATCCGAATTTCCTAACAGGGCCAGGTGACCAGTTCCTAGTGGCCTTGGGGCTGGGAGAACCCAGGCTGTACCCCGCCACCTGGGTCACCCCGCTCTGGGAGTCTCTGGGCATCGCACCCCTGTACTCTATCTGCCCAGGCCTCTAGCTTTCAAACTTTGGGGTGCTTTTTTTCTGTTTTGTTTTCTTTTTTTTTGTATGTTTCACAGATGACCCAGAGGCAGGGTCCCAGGAAACCAGGGGGCCAGGAGGTTCTGGGGACAGCTCAAGGCTGCCCAGAGCTGATGGCAGTCCACCTCTGGGGGGCGCTGCACCCCCAGACTTACTCTGGAGACCTTGAGAACGACCCAGTGGGGACCTGGAAATGTGGCAGAACAATTAAACACTAGGCCCCTGGGGTCTGAGTGTGAGGGGTCCCCAAGATGGGGCCTGTCAGGCGGCTGCAGGTTGAGCCTCCCTATCCCACGGCTGATCAATTTCGCTTCCCCCCACCCCCTCCTGTCCCTGATAGCACAGAGAGCTAGGCATCTGGAAGGAACCACCTTGAAGCCCGTATTCTCCAGAGATTTCCCTCCCCCTGCGAGGCGAGGCAGCCTCTGGAGGCCCCCCCGCCTCGCCCCAGCAACCCCCACTGCCCGAGTTCAAGCATGCATTTCCTCTTCCTCCAGGATGGGCCAGAACCACAGTCCCCGAAACACAGCCCCTGACCCGGGGGGGACTGCTCTCACGATTTGTGAGTGACGACCACCCGCCTGTCACGAAGGCATTGAGGGGCTCTGTGGGGCCTCATGCGCCTCCAACCGGTTCCTCTCATGCCTTCATTTTTGAGCTGGATCATTTCTTTAATAAATTTCTCTTTTACTGAACTTGGAATTTACTTCAAGATGTTAAAAGCGCCCGATCCTTTCGCTTCCCAAAACCCCAGGGAGGTGTGGCCTGAGGAAAGGGGGGGGTGGGGGGGGATGGGGGGATGGACTTCTGGGCCAAGAGACAGCAGCCCGCACCCCAGGCCGACCCTGGGCCAACACCCCGAGAGGTCTCTGGAAATGTGAATCTGGAGCTGGCCACAGCAGAGGGCTGGGGTGTATGCGGGGTGCACACGGGGAGGGAACCCCACTGGAGACAGAAGAAGAACGGTCAGAGAGACAAAATGGGCAGCCGCGTTCCCGAAGCAGGTTTCAAGAAAGAAAGACCCTAGTGTTTCACACAACAGGAAAAGCTGTTCAGTTTGTCCAGCCCCACCCCTCCGCCCCTCCCATCCCCCCAGAGGCCTGGGGGCACTGCTGGGTGGGGCGTCCCACTGTCCCCCCTCCCAGCAGATGGGCTGGTTCTGTTCATTAAGGGATCGGTGACCATCGGCAGGCAGGCAGAGGGAATTTTCTAGAGGCACACAGGGAGGGAGGACCCAGAGATTGCAAGGGGTAATCCTTGAACCCGTGGACCAAGGCTTGGGAGGACTTTATGCTGGGTGTGGAAGTTGGCAGGGCTAAGTGGTTCCATCCCACTGGCCTCATTATACAGATGAGAAAACTGAAGCTAAGGGGGGAGTCTCTCTTTGCATCAGCTGGTGGTCCCAGGACACCCGGGAATCACTCCTCCACTCCTAGGAAGTCACTAGGAGGCAGACCCTGGGGGGCCAAGGAAGAAAAAGTTAGAGAGGAGGGGGCTGAGCAGATGCCCAGTGGGTGGGCCTCCGCCTGGGGCACCTGAACCCATCCAGACCCTGAGGACACCCGCCTCTGCCTCGCTGTGTGACCCCAGAGCTGGACTTGGCCTTGGCCTCTTTTTCTGACATGCAGCCATGCCACAGGAGATCACCAGACTTTTCCTTCTAGAGGATTCCTCTGGGCACTTCCATGTCACCCCGCCAGCCAGAAAGCAGGGCTTCTGGGAATTCTTTCACCCTCTAGTATCAGTTCCTGACAGGCACATCCCCCAAAGTGCACCCGCCCTGCCCCGCCCCTGCCCTACTTCTTCTCCCAGGCCTGGGAAGCCCCTGTGGGCTTGGAATGCGACACTGCTCTGCTCCTCACACCACATCCCGTCCCTGATCTCTTTGATCGCCCTACGGCCACGGCCACGGCTCAGCAGCCTCTGCACCCGGCCACTGGCCTCTCCTACTGCTTGCTTCACAGCACTTCTCCTCCGACCCCGGGTTTGCCTCATCAGGAGCTCTGAGAACTGGTCCCCTCTGCCTGGCTGCCGCACTGGGAGTCACGTTCCATCGGGCGCAGCACTGGTACCCCACAGCCCCGGCCCCCACCGGCCTGCACGCTGCCCCAGGCAGGCCGACAAAGTGCCGACTGGCAAGCAGGGAGACGCTGGGCCCAGAGTAGGACAGCTGGGCTGGAGGGAGACACACAGAGGCCTGAGCTTGGGCGGAATCCGGCAGGGCTGGGGGTATACCCGCAGCCACGTACCCGGGGCGGGTGGGGGGGGTCACCCCCTGCACCTCCCAGCCCAGTGTTACCTGCCGAAGGGAGCATCTGCACAACACACCTCAGAAGAAGGCTTCAGAGAGCCCCACGGGAAAGCTCTAGATTGCTGAGGACACTGAAAAGTACTACACAGCCCCCTGTCAAAGTGTTTGGATGGAGACGCAGGCACCAGTGCTGGGTGGGGAGGGAGGCTGACCATGTTTGTATCCCAAAAATAAGAAAACGGAGGCTTTAGGGCTTCATAGCAGTTCGTGGGAGACAAAGGGAAATTCACTGTAGACAGCGGAGAAGGTTGCCTTTAAGATGCAAATGTGTATTGTGAAGCCCTGAAAGGGGACGTTGCTAGGGCCCTGGGCGGAGGCCCGACCCCCCCCCCCCCCCCCACCGAGGGCGGCCCTCTTAAGATCCGAGAATGAGATAAAAGAGTTCTAGGAGGTGGGGTAGGGGTGCCACTGGAGGCCAGGCAGGATCCCCCCCCTCCCCCCCCAAGCCCCCGCTCTCCTAGGGTCCTTTAAAGGGTGGGGGGAATGGGGTGCTGCATCCCCTTCCCCTACTTGGCTAGAGGAGGGATGGATCCCCTTTACGGACAGTCCACACTGTAGGGGTCCGCAAAAGTCAGCCCTCTGGGGATTCTGCTGTTGACCACCTCTAAAGGGACCCTCTTTAGAAGACACTCCCCCCCCCCCCCCGCCCCATAATCTGGAGTGTCACTGTGATCCTTTTCCTATAAGTACAAGAAAAGCAAAAAGGAAAAAGGAGCCACCTCGACGCGAGTTCGAATAACAAGTTCAAAGGTAAGTTTAGGTGTAGGGGTCGCTGTTCCCTGTCTGCATCCAAGCACACAGGCCTTATCCGTAAAACGGCGATCTCGTCCCGCCGAGTCTTAAGTGCCAAAGAACCCACAGTCAAGACTGTGAGCCTGGCAGAGCCTGACCTACGGACCAGGCCTTAAAGAATCCACTCCTTGGAACAGAACCACAATTTGCACTTGACTACACCGCACCCAACCTTAAGGTGCCAAACATTACAGGAAACTGAGCAACTGCCTAGCTATGACTCCTGAACGATTTGCCCACCCGGGGCCGGTGTTTTAGTTTACTGAAGTGGAAACTTTCACCCTCACGACAGTACCCAAAGTAACCAACCCTCAGTAACAGAGTTGGGAAACAGAATTGAACTGCAGCTCTCCTGAATTTCACTCAGTCTCGCAGGCCACCTCAGGCAGGTGTCATTTTTGGGATGGGATCATTTTTAGGGGAAGAGGCTGAGGAGGACCTGGGACCCTGCATGCCGAGTAAGAATCCCCAACCTAGAGATAGGGCCTGGGATGCTGAATGAGTCCCCAGATCTAAGAGTTGTGGGTGACTGGGAGTTTTCCACTTGTCGCCTTGAATAAGAATAGTCTTCTCCCAAGAAGCTTGTCCCCTTCCTTTGACTTCTCTAATGCCCAGGGAGG